ACCTCGATGACAGGGCGCAGCGATCTGGCGGCAACACGTTTGATTGAATCGGGGAGTCTGCGTCTGGCGTACGATGGATTGAGAAGAGGGCTATGTGGATGAATTAGTGATCCATGTTCTGCGAGGCGATCAAAGGTCTGTTGCGGCAAAGATTTCATAGGAGGCAGATCCAGGGCGTTGTGATTGACGAGGACGACGCGGGGTATGAGGGGGAACGGGGGGAGGACACGGGGTAGGGCAGCGACCAAGCGGAATGGGCTCGACGACGAGTTGACTTCGTGATGCCGATTTGGAGAGATCAGGATGACTCTGATAACAGGGACCAGAAGCGTTCCAAGCCAGGCGGGAAAGAGGGGAGTCCGTCAGCTGCCGTGGCTGGGTACCATCGCGGCTGTGCAGGCGGGTGGCAGAGGAATCTGTAGCCTAGTGATAGAATGGCGCTTCGTTTGAACTCGCCATATTCGTAAGGGCCGACTGGCCAGGCGGCACAAGCTCAAGGCGACTGTATGGGATACGGTCGCAAAGGCAAAAACGCACGGCGAGCAAGCAGGAGGAGGAGGGGGTGTTCGCGAGGGGATCGTGAGGTAGGTAGGCGCGGGCACGTCCCAGTGGTCGGTCACACTGGGGCTGGCCGCGAGAGAGAGAGAGAGAGGGGTAAAGGCCGGTGGAAATCAAATGTGAAATAAAGTCCAACTCACCAGGCGGAGACAGCTCAGCGACAAAGCTCGCGGTCGATTCGAGCGTGTTGAGAGATGATCGAACGGCAGATGATGATACTGACGTGAGGGACGGACCGAAGACGGTGCTCACGGTGTGTGCTGACGAAAAATCGAGAGTTTCCCGTGAGCTGAGATGGGTGCAGGGAGCACCGAATTGAGTCTCGAACGTGGAGGTGGAAGAGACGAGCGGCTAGAGGCTGAGAGCTGGTAGGGGGGGCTGGGAGGATCCGCGCAGTGTCAGTAGGTAGGGAAGGCGTAAAGAAAAAAGACGACGACTCGGAATGATAATGGGGTGCCGGAGGCAAGTAGTTCTGGAGGATTGGGAAAGCTGGAGAGAGGGTTGGATGGACAGCTTGGGAGGGCAGGGAAGAGGTCGTGTGGAATTGAATTGAGGAATTGAAAAGACGAGAGGTACTTGAAGAGGGGCAGCCGGGGGGGGCGTGGTAAGGTGGGTGTGTGGAAGGGGAGGGGGCGATCTCGAGGCTTTACAGGCTCATGGGCAGGCTCACCCTGTCAGGGAAATGCTTAGGTGGGCGTAAAGCTATTGTACCTTGGGGCGAAGGCGTGGGCGGA